TCCATTATAGAACACCGTCGTTATTGCTGTTATTATTATCGCGGAGCACATACACCACGCGCACCGCACTTTATTAGAATTCACATCCACCGCCGAGTGCGTTGGTTTGTAATAATATTGTGTGCGGGCGGGCGCTTACAAAGGTTTATACTTTATTACAATAAATACGATATAATACGTGTAACATTCAGAACGACGAGACAGACGGGCGCGCGAGCACAGTGTAATTATGGTTCGTCAATTCAACAAAGTACGCAGTTTGTTCCCAGTCGACGGCTTTAGGGGTGGCTGTTGAACACGAACGCTGCAAGACACACACACACGTCACACACACACACACACACACACACACACACACACAATAATATGATTGGCATTCCACGACCCGAACGTAATACCTAATGCTGGCTTATTATTAGGAATTGAATGAGACAACTTAATCGCACGCCACTAAACACCGTGTTGATTATTATTTTGGCAGCGTGGCACGAGTACTGCTGTGGCTATGATAATATGGCCGACCGAGAAGAAAAAAACTCGTCAGGCGACGACCGTTACGGCTACAGCTAAAAAATACGATTTATAGACACCCAAAAATCGTTTATCCCGATCGACAGTCATTTGTTCGTCCGAGATCTGTTGACATCGCAATAAAATCGATTGAAAACGTAATCTGTTATGATTCGCACTCGTATTGTGCATCATGGTCTCAGAACCAAGAGAAGAGTTATCTCAAAATATTAAATTGAACGATTTCGAAAAAACGGGAGCAGTAAACCGTAATATTATATTATTTTGTAATGAACGATTTGATAATCATCGAATCAAAAAATTAGCAAAGTTACTCTGGGAAAAGTGTTGATTTTTATTTTTGCAAATGAAACTTAATATATATTGTGCGAAAATAAAAATAAAGAAAACAATTTCAGTTAATATACATTTAGCTAGAAATTGTTTTTTTCTGAATTAAATGTAAGTTTCTCGGGAAACAAAATGTAGTTACACAAAGGATGGTGTTTCGTGATACCAAAATAATAATATGACGGTTTTATTTTGTTTTATAGAATTATTTATTTTGTTGGAAAATGTTGCTAGTATGGATTGATTTAGAACTTATTTGTTATCTAAACCTCTTTGAACAATGAACCTCAGTGAATGTTAGTGATTTTGAATTTTAAATAGTTGATAAATAAACGAGTATTTCTTTAAAAAATCTGTTTGAACATTTTGGTTCAGAGCCCAAGATATAATAATATTTAAACGTTATAATCTTGTATAATATTATTACAGACACAAACACATTATATTATTTTTATGCATATAATTTAAAAATACAAAATATTTACTATATTGTTCCTTACTTTATAGTCTTAACTTATAATTTATTTTATTATTATGTAATTATTATGTTATTAAAACGATTGGGAAACTTAATCTGAATATTAAGCAAAACAAATAGGAAAGTGATATCAAATAATATTTTATTATAGCAGTCAGACCAAATTCTCATAATTATTTTAAAACAGAAGCTGATTTTTGTGTTATGTTTTAATATATCAGTTGTAAATATGTTCAATTTTAATTTATAATTAATGAAATCCTGATTTTATTTACATTACTTTGCCTTTCAAAAACTGAACTAAAGGTAGGTCAAAATAATAATAATAATTTAAATATTTATAAATCAACGAGAAACATTTTTAAAGAGCACAAAGCGTTGATTAATATTTTCGAAAAATCCTCAGCATTCCAATAACGTTGAAACAGTGTTTTTGTATAAATAATTGTAGTTTTTTAGAGCATTCGTAAGAATTTTGCTGAAATACCAATGAACAAAAAGATTCTTGACGATTTGTTTCAAATCCCCTTACTATATACGGAGACTGTAAAAATAACAACGTTTTGTTTTTCATCTTTTATGGCATAAAAAAAACTACGATCTCTGGAAAAAAAAAAATATTATCTTACTGAGTAATGGAAAAATAATGTAAACCTTTCCTGCCAATCAGTTATTCGCAGTTTATTTTTTCCCCGCTGGTACACAATTTCCACGTTTTTTATAATATTACCAGTACCTGTATTTAGCGAGAACCCTGCATCGTTTTCCCGTAATGGAATTGGCGGCGACTAATAAAAAAGGTACTTCGTGGTTTACATGCGTCTCCGGGGACCAGAAATAATTCACAGACCACACCATCTCCGAATTAACCGTCTCGTCGACGTAAAAAAAAAAGAAAAACGCCAAGAGACGTATTACGGTAATATAACTTTTTCCCTTAATGAAAACAAATATTATTCTCGTGGCACGTGTGAGGATCGTAATACGTTTAACGTTTCGCAATGACCATTAAATTAGGTTTCAGGAATGTCGGTCCTATATGCTATATGTTTAGGTCAGTTTCGTCCAAAAACTTTTATCCAAAACTCTTTGGGTCCTAATTTACCAAGTCCAGTTTACATTGCCTCTGAAGTTCATGGTGATATCCAATTTACGTCGTTTGGGCAACTTTCGTCCGACGTATTATTTTACCGAAAATGTTTTGCGTGGAGTAAATAAAGGATAAAGGTAGTTATAGTAAGTGAAGAAAATATATATATATATATATATATATATATAAAGTGAACAAATTGTGCTGTAATACCTAGATGTAGGGGTTTAAGCACTGGTTCCAATGGAAATGGAATTGAAATTAAATGACTTTTATTTTATTTTTTAATTTTGTTTTTTAAGCGGATATCACCTGAATAACACCTGCGAAATTAAACAAAAGATGCTCCTAACATTTGTAGTTATAATATAGCCTGATATTAAATAATATTTTTATGTTTTCTACATTTTTAATCATTCTTATTCTTATAGTTTAGTTGTCTCATTTTTTTCTTGTCGCATTTTTTTGGTACACAGGTAATTCAAAAGATAAAATTATAAAAATGATATATCATTGATATATACAGGATTCAGAGAATGATTATAAATTTAAGTTAAAGACGCAAGCCCGCTGCAGGTTCATGCAACTTTAATTTTGAGAACTAAATAGAAACTAGAAATAATCCTTGAGTGTCTAGACGTTCGAAAACAATTAATTTTTGTTTAAAGTTAGGTAAAAGAGTTTTGTTGTTTAGTTACTTATTTATTGTGTTGCTGACTCCTGAAACTGTTTCCAAAATTTCTGAGAAATCAAAAACAAAAAAATCACACGTCATTATTTGTTTTCAATATCCAATCTCGAGAAGTGCTGTGTGAGACTTGTTGAGCTTTTTTACTACCACACATATCATTGTAAAACCAATAGCACTCTCACGCATCGCTACTAGCATTACACTTGGCATCTTGAAAAAAACATGTGTTGAATAGAATAAATTGTAATTACGTTCCAAATGACTTTTTTTTCATTGGATCGTATTTCATTTTTCATTTTCATTTGCTCGCATAAAGTTATAAATAATAAAATAAACATTTATTGATATTTTCTTGTTTACCGAATTTAATTAAACTGGTATAGTGAAAATAAATTATAAGCTTTTAACTGATAACTTAGAAATAAAGTTTTTTGAAACTTTTAACTTAACTAAGTTAATTTGCTTATCTGTATTAAAAATAATATTTAATCAAGAACATTTTTTTTTGTTATGAAAGTAACTAAAAAATTCACTCATTCTCGACAAAGTTTTTATTGAATAATAGATTCACGTTTGAGTAAGTATAAACGCGAAATCGGTATATAGAATTGGACGTAACAAGCAGTAACTACAATATTATGTTATTATACAGTATTTTTTACTTTACACCAATTAAACCTCAAACTGCACCTACCTATACTCACTGAACTGAATATTGACTGAACGTTTATTGTGATTTGTGGGTAACCCAAATGTTTACATTTCTTAATTATTAGGCATAAAATGTTGAGTGAATAATATAGTAATGTAAATCTTTTATATTCTCGTTTGATAGTTGTGTCCATTATTATTGTATTATGATAAAACATAGAACTTTAACAATATTAAGTACCTAATAATTAGTAGTACCTTCAACACGTCTTATGTATCATTGTATATGACGCACATCATACACTTAATAAGTGTTTGTAGCAGTATACATTTCAAGTTAGGTTGTTTTTTAAACAATTTACAAACTGAATATTATCAATTTTCTTGATCAATTTTAATTTAATTAACTAAGTGACCGCGTGGCGTTGACAATATTTTAAGTGAAGAGAGGAGGGACATTTAAAAGATTTATTTTTGTTTAGTTCATCTGCCAAACAAATATGATGTCAAATGAATGTATTATACATTATCCATTATATTAGTACCATATTCATATTGGCGTATCATCAAAATTTAAAAAAAAAAACAGAGGAAGGCTGTCGTTTCTATAGGCCATTTTAAAAATCATTCAATATTATGTATAAGGGAACACTAATACTGACATTTCATTAATTATAAGGCCAGTATAGGTAATATTACGTCTCTTATCCATATCGAGCCTCGACGATCGAACTCCTTCACCTAGAGATTCCCTGTGAACGTAGCATTGGTATATGGTCACTATATGAATATTCTAATAGCGTCCTTAGTAACTAGTAGTATTATTATTTTTTTTTAAGTAAAGGAAAATGTACACATTAACAAATTAAATAAGTTTAGAAATAAAAAGCTGAAATTTAACTTTGATAAAATATATGTACATGTGTCAGTGATTATCTAGAAAATGAAATGAAAAAAATAATAAATAAATAATGTACATTATGGACAAATAATAATACGTGGAAAACTGCCGCGTGTGTCAAAACCAAAAAAAAAAAAAAACCATAAAAAATGACATTCGGCGCGGGACAATTGTTCAGTTGACAAATTAAAACAATAAAATAATAATAATATATTCTGTTATGTACAACAATTTAAACGTTAAATAAATAATCTCTTATTTGCATAGTATAATAGTAGGTAATAATATATGTACATGGTTTTAGTATCGAAGGCAATAGGTTACTTACATTTACGGTTGTACAACTGAAGCGACCGACGTCGACCTAGGATTTCCGTTTCGTTGCTTTCCGTATTATACTATTATTATAGTTTCAATATCTAAAACATGAAAAATAGATATCAGTTAGTTACACACCCGAATAGGTATATGAACAATATTATAGTTATACACATTAAGTGGGATATTGTTGAAATCGTATAAATAATTGTTGTAGTCGCTATCGGACGATCCATCTGAATATTGTATAATTAGTTTCAGTAAGATCGACGAAACACGCCTACCCATCTCGAAGAATCGTATGTAACAGCAACCCATGACAATATCTGCTCCATGTAAATATAATAATTATAATGTATACAGACTGTCACATAATACAATATTATCCTCCGTACAATAATATTATATATAAACCGGCGGCGTGCCGATGATTAATATTGTCTGTATACAAAAGTAGGACGTTGAAATATCAAGTGTGATGCGATCTGATGCAATGTTATGTGCACGCATAGCCGCAATTATTTTCAGCGGTACGAAAAGCACAGGCTTAGCGTTATTATTTTTATTTCGGCCGAACAATTTTGGCACACGTCTCTCGATGATTATTACCGACGTCATTACAATAATAACAATAATAATAATAATAATAATAATAATAATAATATGTCGTATAATAATGCGCGGTGTAATACACGATGCTTGTACTGGAGATTTCCCCGGGGCGTTTGCTGAAGCTCCGTACAGGGGGTTTGCGTTATAATAATGCAAAAGTATAATGTATTGTATTAAAATGTTCGACAAAGAGCGTAGTTTTAACGTGTACACAATGTGGTGCGTATAATAATAAGTGTCTACGCTTGTTATTCCTAAAAGTTTAAATTATTGTAATACTTGTTTTTATTTTACATACGATTTCATGTCGTTGCAAATCGACATATTTTTTTTAACGTAAATTATGTTACACATATATTTTTAATGTGACTTTATCGTTTTTTTAAGTTTTACTTTTTAACTCCGCACTCCGGAACAAAAAGTTTTTTTTGGATTATATCAATAAGTACATAAAAATTGAATTTCGAACGATTAGGTATAGGTAGGTAGTTGATTACCAATTAGTCATAACTCATAACTTTATAAGTATAAGTAAGTACCAATTTAAAGTTTTTACGAGCGGAGTAGTTTATCAACATTTTTCGGGATACCCAATACTCGATTATACTCGTCAAAACTTTAAATTCTCATGACTAATTAACTGTCCTCTATAATTGAAACGAGGAGATTGTTTTTTTTTTTTCAAAAATGATTGTGTTTTGCAATGAAATAAAAATAATGTAAAAATGTCATTTGCAAAAACTGCAGTGAACACACATGAAAGGATCACCTTGTACACATTTTGTCGTTAAATGTACACACACTCGTCCGTATAATATGCCTCCGTACATCTTATAATAATAATAATATAACGTTTACGTGTCAAAACCAATGCCCCCGCGGGCATCGCGTGCGAACATTAAATGATACTTGGCGTTGTAGTTTTCGAAAAACATTTCAGATATTGTGCAGCCGTATATATCAGTATATATATATATTATGTACCCCCCTTTATGCGCCAAAGTTTGGTCGGGTGAACGTGTATAATATTCTACGTATACACCCACATCTACCTATATAACATAGTGTCTACACGGATCAGTATATAGCGTCGCGAAGAGCGAATATAGAGTTGCGCCGGCAAATATTATGATGATAATAATATATATATATATACGCGTCAGTATTATATATACCTACAGGCTGTGCAGACCATTATTATAATTATTTTCATATCTCTGTTAATCTTCGTTTTAATCAGCAGCGATCGAACGTTTTCTTTTGTGAGAAGTCGCTGTACACACAATACGATTTTACTATACTTTATACCCGAATTTCGTGTACTCTCGACTATCTCGTTTCGAGTAGTGTTCTCCGCGGCGGAAACTCGACTGACAATAATCTCGTTCGTTTCCTTTATTACTTTCTTTTTTCCCCCGTCGTCGTCGTCGTTGTTGTTGTCGATTTATTTTCTAATTACGTTCGACGGAATCCGCGATGTGTTTCCAGAGAATACGTCATTCGTTAAATCAAATAAAGGGCTCGGCAACAGCAGCACACGGGGGGGGGGGGAAACAGAGAATGACATACGAATCCGTTTGAAAGGTAAATCGGGTGGGATCAATGCGATGACTTTACTGTGCGCGGGTTGACGTTTCGACCCAACGGCTAAAACGCGTTGCCCCCTGCACGTCGAAATAATAAATCCTCGTCCCTATTGTATACGAAAAACCACCACAGCGGCGGACGGTGACGTATATGGCATAATTGCTTTGTGCGTGCGCACATGCCGGACACCAGTATACCTTTCTCTCGCCGGACGGTTTCCTCGTCGTCCCCCCGCGCGCGATCGTCGCTGCAGTCGCCTCTGTCGTCGGTAGAACGATAAAATATATATAATTTACAAACAGACAATACCCATCGGATATACACGGCGCGGCGGTGCGCTATTTCGTCGACGGGGTCGCGTGTCCCGAGATTGAAACGTCTGCGACGGGGAAATGTCGATTATATACGTCGTCGACGTTCTATCGCTTCCGGGTCAACGGTTTTCGGAGACCGATTCGCACGCCTCGAACGAGTACGCCCGTTTGACGAAAACACGCACACGCGTTTCCATTTGTCGCGTATTCTCTTCCTATGTGCGTTACAGGTCCCGTCTGCACCGGGTGCGAAGTGAGTGAGCACACACACACACACACACACACACACACACACACACACACACACACACACACACACACACACACACACCCGCACACGGGGCTCGAAGAAAAAAATGCATTCGGAAAGTGCGGCTGATGCGTGATGCGCCGCTGACGGTTATGTCGGTATAATAATATTATTAAACCCGCGTTTTGCCGTTGTGCGGAGTACAGCGTTCGTTTTATGCACGTCATTCTTTATACGGTGTATTCAATATTTTACGACACTATATGATATTATTGGGGGCCGTGGAAAAAATGTTCCAATTTGTTATGAAACGTTCTCCTGCGTAAACACATATTTCACGGATATGGATAACGTGAAAACCGATGACTCGCTTCCCGCGATCGAAGACGACCCGAGAGCGACGATGACACTTCTCCTTATTTTTTTTTTTCTAAATTGTTCACAGCTACCATTTCGAGATTGTTCGTTGTCCCGTTTAACACCACGGAAAATAATTAACTATAAATGTATGATATAATACTCAGAAGAAAATAATCAGTTTTATATGGCTGTTGTACCGATACCGTAGACCGTGAACTACGCAATTAGACACGAACCGTGTATGCTGCGTGACGGTATTACGAGGGTAACTATATGCATCTCGCAGTGGTGTAGGCGAAAAAATACAGTGAATTAGCCTGTCTTGACTACAAAATATAACGGTCTATACATCTTTTTATCTTAACCTACCGCCCCACTATTCCATATACACGTTGGGTAAACGAGTAAATAAAAAAACCACCACACGTGTTGTTGCGCTTTCCACACGCCCATTGCTTGTCTAGTAGTGGAAAGTCTATGACTGACATTAAAGAGTTTCTTCCGTAAAACCGAATTCGTGGAAAAGTCAATTCCTAAAATATTGGCAGCTGATGTCTTGTCGCTGCTCTCAGGTCTTCAATTTAAAACTTATCTTTCTTACATAGAACGACATATTCTCAAAAGAATTCTTATTGTTGTGTTATTTTAATAATTATTCTTTTTCAAGCAACCATATTTGTATAGAAATAAAGTTTTCGATTTTTCGACGAAAACGGGCAATATAATATGTTTCAATATTATACTGGAATATACATGGTTACGTTAAGATGAGGGGATGTGTTGGTTTTTGTGGGTTAACTACACCCAGCTGCCAACATTAATTTTAGTTTATCCATACCTATACGTACTTTTGATCATAAAACACCTCCAAATAACTCCCTGCCCTCTTAAAAATAAACCTATAATATGGACTAAAATATCGCCTGTCTAGTGAAAAAAAAATAATAATACTATACTTAACGAATGATATGGTTCGCACTTTATTCTCTTTATTCTCAGACGTAACGAATAAAAGGAGTTTAATATTATTTCTGTTTGTTCAAAATAACAATAAATAAGCCACTCTGAAAGCGAATAAAGGTTGAAATGTTTATGTATATATATAATATATATATATATATATATAATAATATATTATAATGCGTATTAATGTTAAAAGAAGTCTTTCGACATTTACGGTATACGTCGGCCACGATAGAGTTTGAGTAGAAATAGCAAGGTGGCGCGCTGCAGTACACACGGCGGTAATTTGTTCTTCAAATATAATATATATACTCAAAGTGGCAGGCAAGTTCTCACGTATAATAATATGTTACATTGGCATAGGTATATTTGCGTCAGCGTAGAACGTGATGCATACAATATGTAATATTATAGCTGTTTATGGCGTGACGAGCGATTTAACGACCGGCGGCGGCAGGGTGTCAACGCGTTATTGAGATGATATAACTACCTAAGTAATATAATATTACTGCAGTATCCATTATCCGCCTTGATTAATATCCTATCCGCCCATATGATATAATATTCTGTCGGGTCACGTCGTATGTAGGTATGATTGTATTATTATTATTATTATTATTATTATTATTATTATTACTATTATTATAATATCGTGTTGTCGACTGTTGTTTGTCCACGAAGACATCTTGAACGCACGACGAGTATATTGTAACGATTTATTTAGGCATGGTTATAATTTACAATCACTAGATATCGTGCATTGCACGCTCGCACTAAATTTTGAATTTCTTTCGACAGTGTTATTATTTCTGCGATTGGGCATATCGATTACGAAAAAATCTAAAATTCATTAGGAACGTTTTCCGTGCCCGGAGCGCGGTGCTCCGGTTAATTATAAATAAATAAATAAATGAACGCAAATTGACTTTCGCTGGTTGCGAACGTCTGTACGGATGTCGTCGAGGGGTTTGGTTTCCAATGACTATATCGATTCGCACACTCTCATTTATATGCCCACACCGTGCATATGATATGTTTCGCACGACAGAGTGTGCTACAGTGTGCGCTAGTGTCAATCAATCATCGGGTTCCAGGACTCTCAGGCCAGAATGACAACTTTTGGGGGCTTCCGGATCGTTTCCTGTGTGTACGTACATAATTAATACGCGGGTGTGCGGTGTGTGTGTGTGTTCTGCTGGTGCAGGTCGAGGTGGGTTTCCGTTGCAGCTTACGGTGCGTCACATTATATTATTACCTATAATATGTGTATGATATCGTCCGCCAGCACAGCTAAACTCGGAAATAAACCACTGTGTACACGATGTGTGCTTGGAGCAGGTACGCCCGTGACGATTGAGTAAAATCACGCTGCAGGCAAGGTGGTCTGCTGTGACGGCAGACATAATATTATATTCATGTACGTTCTGCGAAAATTACAAGAACCGGTGTGGGTACGAATGGCAGATCATTTTAGCCGGTTTCCATGTAAAAGACTTTGTGGAAATTGTTGGCAACGCAACACTGGTAATGAATGGTTATCGTATGGACTGTCGGCGGGTCTCGCAGAATCTATTAAAGAATTGAGGAAGTTGCATAGCCACACAAAAAAAAAAAAAAAATACTATTTTATCTCTACGACTCGGACTATTTGCTGTTTAGAAGTTCATACACTTCCCGTTTTTTGTTGATTTTCCGTAATTTGAATCTCAACGATTGTTTGTGGTCCAACGGGCCAGGAGTACACAGAAAAACAATCGTTTTCCTGCAGGAAGTATGCTTTTGAACGGTTGAACATAAAGTGTGAAAAAAAATATTTTATTAATGCTACAATGCAGGATTTCGATATCATTATTCCAATACCAGTGACGTGAAGTGGTGTTCCCAGCCCCTTTTTGACCATATAAAACCATTTAAATGTATGCAATATAAAAAGGATAATCGATAGAAATAAATCAACTTACAACGAGTCTTTAATAATTTCGTACTATGATAACAAAAATTAACTGAACTTTGAAGTACGTGTCATAAAATAAGTCACATTATACGAAGTATGGATCCCACCTTAAAAAAATGGTTTCGTTGTACAGGAACGGACGAATAGAATTTATCGCCCAACGTTTATGCCCAACTACGGTTATGTTACACCCGTCCTCACGATGTTTTTTGTTATTATTTTCCATCCTTAAAAATATTTAAAGCCTCAGATTTACACGATGTCAGAAAATATTATATTACATACATAGTAGGTACGTGATAATAATTCGACAAACTTTCAAACATAAACTTCAAACGAGTTCTAGAAAATTTACGCTTTACAAACTCGGTTCTTGAGTCACACCTAATAATATAGTATATTTTCACCACATTTCATATTTCCGCCAACGAGTAGGAAATGTATGTGATTGGCAAAATCAAAAATTAGTCAGTAATTTCTACATCCTATTACACTAATATAATATATTCCATACCATATCTATCGATGATCAAATCGGTTTCCGGATTGTTTGAAGCATAGGTATTCGAATTAGTATTCGCGGCTGGATTTTTCACGACTAATTGAACTATTATTGTAACACAATTACTCTTCCACGAGTACAGAATGTATAATATAAAATAAATGTTTGATCAAGTTTTCAGGTGTCACGTTTACGACTATATTTTTTTTTTTTAAACTTTGATTTACAGAATATAAAACTATAATTGAACATTATAATATTGATATTATCATGGACAAATCATATTATAGTCGTTATCAAAATCAAACCTCCGCAATCGACATAATTTAGATGTAATTTGTGCAGAAGTTAAGGACTCACGTACTCTTAAAAAAGATTTTAGCACGATTAAAATAACACTCCAGGGTTATCGACAAGAAAACCACATGTTGTGTAACATAATAATCGAAATCAGAATCGAATATAATATATCAAAAATATATAATTTTATATTTTGTACATAATATCATAGATTTCATTAATAATTTTCTTGTCGAAATATAAATAGGAAACAGCTTTTCGAACCCGGGACGACCGTTCCGATGTATCAAATACTAATTGAAGAGCCTATCATATTTCTAATCATGATCTAACTACCGCATTTACATGAACAACATCCACCTACAAAAATAACAACAAGGACGTTGGCCAAATTGTATAACCTCTGATCTAAAGAAAAAGAGAATAGAAGACACCATACCTCAGGGAGTCTGGATATATTAATACATATAATATAATGAGTATCATAATCGTTGAATCACATGCACGTGTTTGCCTCATAACTATTACACTATTGTATTGTTGAAAATCTTAATTATTCAATATTATACTAACAGTTTAAATTTAACTGCTGACATCGCCTTGAATACATCAACATATCATGCCGATAAGTGGTGGAACTCAGTGTAACACAAGTGATTATGACCATGATTTTAAACAACAATTTAAGCCCACAATACTTTTGGCGTACAGATCTAAAAACCAGGAAATTTTAAAATTTGGAACCAGCGTTTGTATTGTAGATACTTACAGCTTCGTATTTTCGTTTACACCCAACAAAGTCAGATTTGAAATCCTACAAAGGAAAATCATTAAATTTTAATGTCCACATATTTATTTACAATTATTATAATGCTATTTCCTGTGTATGGCAAGTGATATAATATTGTATATTTATGCTGAATTAATTTCAGAGATCTTTGGTCTGTACCGTAGTTGTAGTAGTGAGAGTTTTCTTCTCATATTGAGTTTGTGGGGTTTTAAGTTTCTCTTGTTGAAGAATAAGGGGTGGCTATACTGAGCAACTTGCGCTGAGTTGATGACATTTATTAAAGAAAATTAATATATTTTATTAATAAAAGCTCGTTGCTCGGAACGCAATTCGCCCGTATCTTATTCGAAGGGTAATATGAAAAATGCCGATTTCAATAAAGTGGCAAATAAATGAGCTTAGGTCTTAATATTGTATAAGAAAGTCGTGTTTACATTTTTCGTTTAGCTAAAGAAATTTAAGACTTTATTTATATTTTAAAAATGCTGATCATTATTTCAATTTATTTTTATGTCGGCTTGTGCGCGAATTGGATGTTTTATCACATATATATATATATAATAATGTGCAACTGATTGAATCAAAATAAATTGAATCAGTCATAAAAACATATTATGTTAATTCTAAATATTGTTTTTACGAGCATGGTATATTATAAGAATATTTAATATACAGTGTGGTTAAAAAACATGCTCACTCCCTCTTTCTTAATATAGCAGTTATCCAAGTCTGATTCTATAGAATTTTTAAATATAGATTTTTATAAAATTCATATTTTCAAATTCTTGAGATTTTTTGTATTACCTACTTAAAGAAAGTCCTGTGTAGAAACAAACTTCTGCTTTTCAAATGACCCTCCCCCTTTAAACTTTCAATTATTTAGTAGATAATTTTTCTGAAAAGTTTGACATATAAGAATCAAAATTAGCATGAGCAGTTACTAGTTTTTAAGTTATTTCACTTTGTGTTCTAACTTCTAAGGATAAAAGATCAATGGTAATATAAGATATGGAGGATATGGGAATTTAAGAATTTTAGTTATTTATATTAATCTATCAACATTAATAATTTGTGAAAATTGTCCGAGTATGATGAATGATAGTTTCAATATACGTATATTTTATATTTGTTTAAAACCATTCAATTATTCTTAGCACAAACATTTTAATAACTAGGAAACTACCCATTTGGATTTCAAATTAAATTAAATTAAACCAGAATTATTAAAAAAATGATCCACACAATAATTTACAGTAAAAAGGGAGTGATCCTCATTAGAAAAACAAAAATACAAAAAATTTCAAGAATTTGAAAACAATAATTACCAAAGGAAAAAATGGGGGTGAGATGCTTATGTCGAATCACCCTGTATACTATAATGTACTGCGGATCGTTTTGCTAATTACTGATTTTTTTTCATCCGGTCCGAGTCGAAAAAAACGAAATGATAGTCGACTAGAGATACCTATAAATTATTCGTTATTAAAGATCGTTTTTATGTCGTGCGTGCATGTTTGAATTATATGTAAATACCTACCTAGTTGGCTATATTGTGTATAATGTACTGCCTACTCATAGTAATATAGCGTAATACAACATTCTCTTTAAACTGGCGAGTTATTACGATTGTTTTGATATTTATTTCTTTTTACGAGACCCATTAATATAATATATAACAGGTGTACATACTATTTTAATATACTGCATTTTTATATGTTTAATATTCTATATTCGCTTTGCTTGTTTGTATTCCTTAATTTACTCTAATGGAAATCTAAGTATCCATTTTCATTAATAAACACTCGTGTACACATTTTCAGTTGGGCAAAAATGAGTGTAATAAAAATAATGAAAAATAGTAAATACAAATAATAATAATATTCACAATGCTATATTGTTTAAAATGAATTCTCATACTTTCCCCACACAGTGGTTAAATTCAATAACAATCCCGTGGTATTAGTAGAAAAATATATATTTTTTGTTTTAATTCAATAGAATATTAAAAAATATACTTCAACTAAGTAAACTATATATTACTATAGACAGTTGTTACATAACATTACTACCAAGAAATCACTATCGGTATTATAATGCTTCTTTAGGCATTTAAATATTTCACTATGTTATTGTTAGTACAATAAAGCGTATAATTATACATATCAAGCTAAGTTTGCTAATGGTCGTGGTATTAAATTTGCAGTTTTCATTAATTTAAACACGTTCAGAGTTCCATTTAGTTGCATTAAGATATTAAGACATATTAAAAAATAATTTTACACAACATTTATAATAATTCATTGTATTATTATGTCTTCGTTTTTAAAATACATTTCAAGTGTAAGACACCATAATAACAACTTCGGTTTCATTTAGACTGTCATTTATTTTTTTCGTCTTTTTTGTAATCTTAAACGATATAATATTTTTTCCCACAAGATGAAAAAGAATTAATTTATATTTCAATGAAAATGCAACGACAATAATTGCCTTAATATTGCGTGACGTTGACAGTTGACAGTTAGTAAAAAAATTAATTTGATAATATTCATGAAAATGAACAGAGGGAAGTGAACTTTTTATGCGCAGTGGCGCGTTAATATTATAATTATATATTTAATGCAATTTTTCCCCTTAATTTTTTTTCCAATCCATAAAAATGTACAATGTAAGAGTATGTATGATAAGTTTAAGTGTTTTTAAGCTTATGTATAATATAATTGTGATGTATGTGATATAAAATATTTACAATAAATGGGGTTTAGAGAAGCTGTGCCCACTGACAACCCTACAAGGGTTTCAAACAGAATGAATTATGTGGAGAGTTTGTTGCGACAGCAGTTGCTTTTCAACCTATTAGAGGGATTGCCAAAACAATTTTTGACAAAAATATAAAACTAGGATGTTTTGGTTGTAATACAAAGATATTATACACCTATAAATGGATATAAGATTGTATAGCTCTTTATGAAAAATTGTATTGTTGTCTTATAAATATGTGGATATGATTTAATTTGTGACGTACAATTGCGCATTTGTGATTAGTCGCAAGATTTAGTTTTTAATGCTTGCATTTTGTTTGAATTGATTCTTTGACTGATCCACATTTTTTGTTTTCGATGTGTCCAGATGGATTGATGACGTTTGTAAAGGCTTAGTTTTTTAAGGAATGTTAATTGGACAAATAAGTGCACTAAAATAATTAAACTTTTGTGTAGTGTAAAAATGGTGGTATGCACGTGCGCACATGTTAGTTTTTTGTCAATATTTATTTCCGAGACATTTTATTGTGCCCGAAATAGGAAGTAACATTTTATTCGATGGCAGAATTTAAGTTTTTGACTGTGAAAGTAATGTGACAAGATTTATTTTAGTTGGTTTTTAGTTTTTACTTCCTAATTTTAGTACTACGATTTCAGAGATTGGAGATAATTTGTAGCCGTCAGTGGCTTTGCATGGACGCAGAGAATAGCTTTGTTGACGGCATTTTAACAACTACATGTTGATTTGGGAAAGGTGGGCTGGTTGAATTAAAATATTTAGAAGGAGTGTGAAAACAATTGCTCCCTACTAGTAGCTTATAATAGATATTGTTGACTTGCCTGTGAGATAACTAAAGGCAGACCGAAGTTCAGTGTTCAGTAAGGTAAAATCGAAAGAATAAAACATTAAAAGAAAGTGGTGATAGTGTGTTTGAAACCATTTATTTTATACAATGTAATTATATTAATAAAAATAATTATGTAATATTTATAGAAGGAGATTCAAATTAAAAATTGTCCTAAGCCATTAACCATACATACTTTCAATAACTAATGGTTAATAGGTACTGTGACACTGGTTACTGGTGAATTATCTACAAATGTAAATTAATGGTTATATTATAATTTATAATGGTTAGTAATTTATGCATGTGCACGTGATCTTTTTAAATGGAGATTTTCCCTTTACGCCCGATGCCATTAAAGAATTTTTATTGGAATTGTTCTTATTTTGTTTTCTTCCAGGTTATTTGGCAGGGTCACGGGGTACTTCAGATAATTCGAATTTCACATTTTTAAATTACAAGTGGCTTTTTTAATGTTTTTTAAACACATTCCGTTCGACAATGTTAAGGTCTCTATGAATTTTATGTCTACAATTTATCGGATCGTTTTAGAATTTTTATCTATTATCCATTGGAACCAGAAGAGAAATGAACAACAAAAACAACAGAAACCATAAAATATTTTAAAAACCACTGTAACAATATGGGCATGATGCCATGATGTCGCATCCATAGCAACTGAGGACAGAAGAAGAAGTACAAGTTAACACAACATCATTGTATAGTATACGTTTGCAAGTGTATCGTTTGCAATTTGTTTTCGGTATTTTTGATAACAATGTAATATTATTTAAAAATGTTCGACATATTGCCCTGCATACTGAATTTCTTAGACGTAATGCAAACTTGATGATATCAACAGAGTAATTGACTATCATAGAAAAATATAAAATAGTGTTGGTTTGTTTGTATAAAGAAACATTAATATGATCATATTTAAAAATTACTTATGTGTTCAGGCGATTGTCGTAAAGGAACAATGATAATCAAGCGGTTAAGACAGGTAACCGTAAACCAGCACTGCGGCTCAATCTATCATCGTTTCGACTATTCGACAAAGGCACACCTCCTTAGTTACCGTTTGACCGTCCGACCACTTATGTCATCATCATCGTTTTACTTCACGATTATTACTTTTCTATTTTTTTGACTTTTCACCGTCACTGCTGCCATCGCCATGGCTTAAAGCCTCTCACCACCACCGATTATCACCACCTCTACAGCTTTTATACTACCACCACTACCGCCAATTCGCACCAATTTTATTAAAATAAATGTTTGCTGGGCAGCTCATAATATTCCCTCTAGTTTCGTGTAAGTTGGTTTTTAAATAGTAGCCCATCAATACCACAGCCAGAAACATTAAATTTGTTTTCATTAATTTTGTTCCCTATACCGTATGTTTTATCCACTTTTT